GCATACAAAAATAAATCTTCAGATGACACTCTCTTATAACAATTCCACCACTTTTACTCCAACTGTTTAAGAGTGCAAACTTTCGCAGACTACCAGTTTCTAATAAGTTTCACAAGGGCAATGTATTCCAAATATGCTTCTATAGTTATCTAGCAGATGGATGCTTGAAAAATAAAAGCATTGTTATTTCATCCGAAATCTCATTAAGCTGATTTGCACCATTAACTTAATCTTAGTTTTCTTTGGTATAAATAAATCTAAAAAAGTATTAAAAAGATTATTTTTTTAAAAATAAAATGGCTTATTTCCCTCTACTACTGCAAGAACAGCACAGTAGTGTCTCCAAAGGTAAGACTGAGCTGAAAGAACCAAAGCCTTTTGTTGTGCGTTTCAGTGATGCATCTGAATCCCTGTTTTTGCACAGCACTTTATAAGAAAACTGCATTTGCTGTGGAACATTTACTAGCTTCTACAAGGGCAATGGTCTGAAAGATAAGTTGTGTTTTTTTAAAAAATTTTACCTTGTTCCACACATTTGTTTTCATTTCTCCAGCTATCAAATACATTTCTCACACAGATCAATCTCTTTAAGCTCATGCATTCTCACAATGCTCTCTGCAATGGAAGGAAATAGACTGAAGCTAGGACAGACATTTAATGAGATACAGGGTACACGTAAGATGTGACGGACACACAATTGCTCATGTTGCATGACTTTCATTGATATATGTAAGAGCTAGCAAATAAATTAGAAGATGATGACTTTTCATGCATAAATATATATCAAAGGTTTCTTACTCATTTAAAAGGCAGGTGATTTTCTTTGGTATCTTCAAAAACAAGTGAATATTTACAAACCCCAGGTCTAGACTTGGATTCCCACATATAAGTACTAAACAAATGTAACTTGGTACTCCCTTTCCATCTTCATTGATTTCAAAGTTGCTTATTGGTACCTCACACATTTTGCAAAAAATCTGGCCACAAGTATTGATTTAGGAGACAGCACTTAAGCACAAAATCCCAACCCAAATCTGCCCTTATGGCTTCACAGCCCCCTTTCCTGGGCTCAATTCATGACCCTCAGCCATTCACATGACTTAAGCTCACTTATGGCAGAACCTGGTGGTTCTTGAAAGAGCTGGATTGTTGAAGCCCACTTTACTTGTGGTAATGACATAAAGCCCCAGCAGAGCCTTCACTCAGAGTGGAAAGAAGTGAGATGAAGAACTAATCTTTCTGTGAAAGAACAAAGGTCCCACAAGACAATGCTCAGCTGACTTTCAGTGAGCTAGATCAGACAACTATAGTAAACTTCTGTACAGTCCCTTTTAAATGACTCAAGTGATGAGCTGAAGTTATCTAAGCAAAACTTCTTACATGTCAGATATTCATACAGACAGATGTCTTCCCTAAACACAGTTTTCACTATCCTGTCTCTGACCACTTTTGCACATCTCCTGTTTACTAACAAAACGTAAGCCACTTGCAATGTCTACTATGGGAGCAATAGCAATGGTATTGATCCTCTCAAAGGAGCAGCTAGTGATTTAACGTAAACTCTAGGAGCAGCTTGATGTATATTGCTGACTGGAAAAGAGACAGCCTGAATAATTATTAAACATACTATATATTTATTTTTTTCTTGAAGGATACTGTCCTCAACAACTGTCAAGCTCAGAATACAAGCAATATTTTAAAAGGAAAAAACATGTCAAGTAATCGGTATACTTAATGGGTGGTTATCCTCTTTGGGGTGAAATTATTAGATACCAAACATATTGCCTTTTTTGTCAATGCATATTTCCACTTTTTTTCTGTAGGTGTAAGGCTATTAAGAGTACTGTTCTTAATCAAATAGATTAACCTTCTGTTGAGCTACTTCAGAAGAGATGCATTTTGCAGGCTGCAGTCAAAAGTACTGCATTTGTTTAAAGAAAACCCAAACAAACAAAAGCACTCCAGTGAATAAGTTATGTTCCCCCCCAATACCTCTACTCAAAAAAAAAAAAAAAAAAAAATCACAAGAGGAATTTATTCCAACATTTTATTAATAAAATAAACAGAAGAGAAAAGGAGAGTGGGGGAAAAAACATTCAAATTTATAAAATTAATACTCTTAACTATAAACTTACTTGAAGCTGTTTTCGTCTGACTTTTCTTCATTAATTCTCTTCTATTGTAAAAGTGGAAAAAAATTACATTTCTAACAGTTTTACATTATTTTGAAGCTGTATCTTAAATTGAAGGGATTTGAAGCTAGGTTGTTCCTATTTGAAACATTACCTAGAAAAATTATATATTTCATCTGGAGAAAAACTTTTGAAGCTTATTTGAATTCATGCTGCACAGACTTGATCCTCTATTGGTTTCAAAGGCATCCAAAAAAGGGCATCCATTAAACAGATGCAAATTCTACCTCTGTCTACAACGTAAGCATAAAACTTACTCTTTATACTTTCCTTAGAGATTCTTTCTTTAAATTGCATTTTATACAAAGGAGTAATCTGAGCATCTATATGAAGACCAAAAAAGAGAAACAGCCTCTCAAGTTACTTCTCTAAGGTGGGGGGAAGGAACTCTCTTGGGCTTCTGCTTACATTTTTAATTACTCAAGCTGTACAGCAGGTGTAGTTAATTACTTTAAGTCCAAAAAACCTTTAAAAAGCAAGTATCTATAACCACTTTATTAGCATAAATATATATAAAAAAAGATGTACTTCCTTAGAGACTTCTTTCTGGTAAAAACATTAGAGATTTTCTCTTCTCACCAATATTAAAATTAATTCTTAGTCCTTAATTACTTGGGATAAACTATTTTTAGAACAATACCATTTGTACGTATTGAAAAACTATCACTGGTTCAGCACTGAACCTTTGCCATCTGCAGGCTTGGCCAACACTGCAGTGGGTTTTTCGGGGGAGTTTTTTGTTGGGTTTATTTGGTGAGTTTTAGGGAGGGTTGTTGTTGTTGGGTTTGTTTTTTTTTTTTTTAAAAAAAACAACAATGAAAAAACAGGCAGGACTGAGGGCAGGAAGGGAAATTCTAGAAACCTGGCAACACCACAACAGTCTGTTAGAGACAGAGAAGCTGATGGCAAACTTTGAAGTGCACGTTAAACGCACCAGTACAGCTGCAGATACATGCTTGGACTTCATGCATTAGTGTCCTCGGCAATGTCTCAGAAGAACACTTACCTCAACAGCAAGACTTTGAAGCCTGTAACCTGGTTGTAATATAAAATTTAGACCAAAACAGGCCCAGGACTTCGTGGTACTGAGGAAAGCAACCCATACATACAAAAGCAACAGATTGTATTACAATATTTGACAACTCTTAAATCTGCTAAAGGAAGTTGGAAATGGTCTACTACTGTTCATAAAAAAAATGCTTCCAAAATATAAAGCAGTGCCAAAAAGAGGGTTTAACTTTTCATCCTTCCCATGAAATGATACTCCCTGCAGAAGCAAGATGAATACCAGCAGTTTGGCATGGAAATTTCTCCCACAAATAGCAAGAAGAGGGAAAGCAGCATGCTACAAGCTCATTAACAACAGTTACCCAGACACATACAGAATGTGTTGCAATTTAAGCTACCAATGCAGAAAAGTCCAGGTAGACAATGCAAAAATTGTACAAAAAGGCGTAAAGAAATTAAAACAAACACAACTGCAAATTCTAACTGATAAATAATCAGAAGGGAAAAAAAGTCTATCTAGATTCTCCAGGGATTTAATAGTTAAAGAGCAATTTACCTCTTTCTGGGACCCTGATACATCAGTTAAATCCATACAACACATGTTGGTTTTTTTTTTTTTTTAGTTAAGAGTATGGTTTTCAAGAAGACAACCCACAGAAAGGTCTTAAGACTTGTCTTACACTTGTGGATTGGACTATTATGGCATACAAATGCTATTAAGGTGGGGGTTAGTCAGGACACAGACACACAGCTTGATCTTCGAGGTATGTTTCCATTATTTTTCACTCAGCTCTAAACTACTTTTAAATTAAAGAGTTATGCAAAATAGATACTTCTATATTCAAAAGTATGAGTAAATCTAAAGATCTAGAACTTTCTCTTTAAGAACACAACAAAAACCAATGACGGTAACAAGTTTATTAATTATACCTGCCTAGGAAGGGAAGTGGTGCAAATTTGGTGGATTGCATTTTATTAAGACAAAAACTGCAATTACTTCCTATGAAAGCTTTTCCACTATAAATATACTTGTGCAAGGCTAAATCCACTATAATAGAAGATTCCGTTACATCAGCAGAGCAACATTTACTAACCATATTTCAAAGAACAGCCTAAAACTTGAGGGTAGTCTAGAGCCCTCTTCACACAGCAAGAGAAGGAAATACAAATGCTAGCATTTGGTTAAAAAAAAAGAAAAGACATAAAAAAGTATATGCTGCATTAGGATTCAGTTCTTAAAATATCTCCATTGTTTTCTTGGTTTCTATTTGCTTTCCACAATCCCCCAAATGGCATTCTTTCAAAATTGTTATATAAAGAGTCATTACTTGTTAAAGATGCCCAGAATTCTGGTAAGGGATCCCGTGGCTCTGCTCAGAGTTGCGTTTTGCATAGGAACTGAATGATGATTTTTCAACCAGCTGTCACATCCCCGGCACTTCAGGGTTTCCGACCACAGATTACAGCACCTGCAGACGGGGCTGGAGCGATGCACACCAACCACACGCATGCTCCCTTTTCTCTGGCCATACCAACACTGCTGCAGAGCAGTCCTACACACTAGAGAACACAGGAATTCTTTCTTTACCTTCATCCATTGGCAGACTGGTGGCAAAGCTGCTGAAAATAGCCATGAACAGAGGCCTTAACAATAACACTTACAGAATTTTCAACTTTGAACTATTTTTACATTATTTTAATATGCAAGTTCCAAAACATTCCCTAACACTTTCATGCATGTCAATGCTGCATTAACAAACGTTTTTAAGCTTTCAAAGGTTTCCATTATATCATCCTTACCTATGTAGTTTATCCTCCAGCATCTCCATGTACTTTTCAGCCTTTTCTTTTACACTGGTCACTGCAAAATAAAATTCAAAGTTAAGGAATAGCATAACTGTACAGTTCTGTATTTTTTTAAAACCAATTCATCTCCTACCCAGAAATTTTGCATGTATCAATTAGAAATGAGAATTCCATTAACATTTTTCACATTCAAATTACAGTGTGGGTGTCTCCTCCCTTTTTTTCTTGAAAATCTATTGTACCTATATTACATTCATATATCTAGTAATTAATGCATTAACCTCTTACTTGTGGCAGAAAAATGGTGAGAGCAACAAAGGCACAGTTTTTAGAATTTTCCTCTTGAGAAAGAAAAACCAAAACCACAAAAAAAAAAAAAAGGAAAGAAAACCCACACAACTAGGTCATCCTCTGTACCTTCAGGAGAAGCAAGCCTAACTAATTTGTCAGTCCATGCATAAGAGTCCTTTAAAAAGTTACGAATCCTGTATCAGACTTCTAATAGAACTGAAATGCTATAGAATGGAAAGAATTACCACTCTAGATTGTTATGAGATTTGGTGGCTTTTTGTGGCTTCATGTTTTGGGGGGGTTCGTTTGTTTGTTTTTAAACTTAGGACCTAGTTATTGCCTGCATATGAGTCCCTGCAACTTCTTCACTCAGAAGAAACTCCAATAAACTACTTACTTGCCATAACACATAACAATAAAGCCATTATTTTAGATGACCCTTGGTACTCCATCATGGGTATGAATGGGGAAAAAGGTAAATCCCCTCCAAGAAAATGGAGGCTTTTAGAGGACAATCATTTTCACATTATAAGTCTTTTTGCCCCCCTCTCTAACAGCTGCTTGCCAACTCCAAGTCTAGTAGGACAGTTAATCAGTTGGTCACTTTTAAACTCTCAAGTCATTGTACATCAATTAAACATACATTTTATATGAGATGCATTCTACAGAGCATCACTGTTTTTATCAGCAAAGCTTGCTACATCGATCAGGTACCCTGTGAACATACCCATCCATCTCCACCTGTCTTTCCTCCAGTACAATGCCTCCAAGCACAGCATACACGCATCAAGTGCTTCGCTTATTTCTCACCTTTTTTTTTTTTTTTCACAAAGTAGAACATCACTAAAAAGCCTAATCTGAAAATACAGCATTAACCAAAACAGCTGTGCTAAAGTTGTCTTCACACACACACACACACACACAGGTGTCCATGTACTGAAATCACTTAGGTAATACCATTAGCAGCAAGCATCAGGGTCAATGTAACATCGACTGTCGGCAGAAGGTGGTGCTCACCTGATCAGACAGTAGTCCCAAACCAATGAAGCAATCTGCATCCCAGTAGCAAATATAAGACATATTTTGCAAAGTCAATTTACTTTCTGGGTTTTTTTTTTTTTGTTCATTTTATGAGAGAATTTATTGGATTAGGAAAAAAAACTACCAAAAAAACCCCAAAAACCCCCACCAAACAAAAAAAAAAACCTACCAAAAAAACCCCGAAACAAAACCAAAAAAACCCACCACAGCCCTAGTACTCTGGAAAGCACCAGTTTTGTCCATAACATCTCTAATTCAGGTCCACCATCAGAACAGGTTCAGTAACACGACATCTTGAGCTTCTGGAAGACAACTATACCCAGAAAACTGCATTTGTTTATACATTCACAGACCCATCTCACCATTAGAAGAATATTTCACAAAAAGTTATATAAGGATTTTTGCAATGGCAGTGGAGAATAACTAAGGTTCCCTAGGTTCTAGCAGTTTTAGAACTACTATATGGCTTAGTAGAAGTTCCTGGTTTCCTTACCATGCTTTTATTCCTACGCTTCCTGCGGAACTGTGGAGAGTCTGCAAGACCGCACGTCTTCCTTTAATGGCAAACTTCAGTTTTATATAAACTGCTATCACTTTTTCCAAACTCCCTATCCGTCAATCCCCAATGTCCTGACCTGAGGGTCAGCACATGCTTTGAAAGCAGATAGCTTAAAGGTGTACGGCTGCCGTACTCTCCCTTCTCTCTCCATTGTGGTAATATCCTTCAACATGAGCTGTTAAAACTCTGGGGCTTATTCTTTTGGATAATGAAGTCAGAAGATATTATTAATTTTTGGAGAGGGATGAGAAGAGGTGGAGAATCTGTTTTACACCCACTTTGTTTCTTACTGATATAGTGACTTCTTATGTTACATGAAAGATAAACCTTGCTTTCAATTTCTCCTGCTGTGCTTGTCACTTTTTAATTGGGTATGATCTGATAGAGTAATTTGCACTTTCACAGTTCAGCCCTGCCCCTACATGCAATTTTACAATGCCCTTGAAGCACAGAGCTTAATATATCAGCATTATTCAATGACAAAAAGTAATGGACAAGAATACACCACTAGTCAAAAGTAGGTCAGTAAAAAGCTAACACTCATTTGGAAATCACCTCACATCACTAAACCCTATTCTCTCCTGTCAAACGTTTTAACTACATTAAAAGAAATGCAAACTTTGCTGCTAAAAGAGAAAGCTACCCAGACTAGCTTTGTCTCCTTGCTGCCTTCTGCATGTAATTGCAAGGGCTGTGACCTGGAGATTTTGCTGGAAGAAAAATACTGCTTAAAAATCCAATGGATGTTACTTCCCTTGTAACAAACTGCAAGTAGCACAGCAACAAACACACAAATACTTTCAAGCCTTTTAGATCATCCATTTGAAACAGAAGACAAGCAACAAATTAACAGATTTTTTTGGTTCTAATTTAATGAATCTATTCACCATCACTTCAAAGCAAAAAAATGCAAACGGGAATCTGTGTGCTTTCAATCTAGCTAAGAAAGTACTAAACGACAGAGGGGAAAAAAAGGAACAATAATTTATGAGATTCTTTTCTGCATAAACATGCCAAATGGTTTATTTTTACATTTAAGTGAATGGGATTGCTTTTTTTCATCAGTTCTCTAGAGATTTACATGCTTACCTCAAATTGGCCTTGAGGGGAGTTATTAAAATAAAAAAGTATAAATAGTCATGGAAGATCAGACAACAGGGTATTTGCTAAGATTAAAAATAGAATTTTCTTGTTAAGCCTTAATTGAAGAAAAGTGATTCAGCATTTCTTTCTCTTATTTTATCATACATTTTTCTTCCTGCCTACAGCAGCAAAGTCTAGTCTTGGAATCAGTCCTGGTCAAACAGAGCTGAGGGGTAGCAGTGAGCTCCTGTGTTGGTCTTCTGGTTGTTACAGAGTGTAAGTCTGCCATTTTAGAAGCTGCAGAAATCTCTTCAGTAATTAACCTACACAGAGTTCTTTTAAAATAACACCACGTGTTGTTTCTCATCAGAAAGCAGCCCCACTGGGGTAACGCTATTTCTCTTATTTACCAATACTATTTGAGCCTGCAAATGAAGGCATATCATAATTTTTATCCTTCAGTCTTGGTCCTCAGAAATTGAGTTTACAAAGACCTACAGACCACAACAAATGCTTTGCATTCTATGATCAAAATTTTCAAAAACTTTCTAAAACCAAGTATCTGACTGGTGACATCTTGAACCCACTGTTCCTATGGAAGCTCCAGATGTGGATGCTTGGCACCTCAGAAGAATAAAAATTGTACTGGGTTCCTCAAAAAAATGGCAGCCAGTTATCACAGCAGTTTTTAAGTGCTAGGCTACAGATCCGTAGTTCTCTACCAGACCAGTGATCCACATTTCAAGTCCCAAAGATACAAAGCCCAAAGTTAATTGCTTGCCTTTCTAAAGGTATTATTTCTTTTTTAATCTCCCTCCCCTCCCCCTTTTTGTTTCCTTTTTTAGGGAGGGTGAATAGTGACACACATTTTGACACAAAATTAAAGGCTGGAACTGCCACAATGGCTGCTAGAAGATCTAGACCTGTTGTGAAAAGAACTGCCAGACATCACCTCCTGCACAACAAACCTGGAGCCTATACAGTTAGCCTCTCTGATCCACAAGCATCACATTCCTTCTCAAATACCTTATTAGTCAGGTAGAGCAAACCACCCACTGGCTTCAGTGAGACTTTTGCTTGACTTCAGGATCTAGGATGAGATTTGGCTCTTAAGAATAACATAAAAATAGAAGTAACTGCATGGACATGCATTGATCCACCTGGGGTAAACTCTGAGTGCAGAATTGGGTGTGAACAAGGTTGACAGATTGCTTGTCCCATCACTATTCTATTTTTTTTTAAACATAAAAATTATTACTAATGCTCTGAGAAAAGCAAAAGCAAAATGTGATTAGTTGAAAATATCTCTCTTTTGTCGTGGAGGATGTGCTGCATTAATGTGTGAAGCTGTGGTCTGAAAAACCGCGGAAAGGCTTCGATATATTTAAAGGTTAACTTGAAAAGCCAGTCAAACTTCAGAAATGACATCTCAGCTGCTCAACTACACGTCAAGATGATTTATCAAGCCCCGGTAACAAGATTTTGGATTATAGACTGGTAAAGAATTTTGCATCTTGCAGACAGACAGTGGAAAAACCCAAAGAACAAGCTCTGCATAAAGAACAATTGCCTCTCTCCACTGAATTATTCCCAGGGAACTCAAGTAAAAAGAAGAGAAAAGGCCAGGATTAAAGAGAGGAAAATAGGTAGCTCGATAAAGACGTGCAAATACTCCAAAAAAAGCTAACATTCTGGGTCAAGTCAATCAAACAAATTCTAGTCTGGTTCACTGACTGTCTTCCAGTAATGAAGTAAATACTGATATACGTAGTTACTACCTGTCTCTTCCAGCAATTGTGCTTTGTTCTGAGGAATGTGCTAATCCTCTAAATATCACTGCACAACAGCACAAAATTAGCCTGGGGAAATTACTGCCACCAGAGATGAGGTGGCCTAAATTCAGGGGGCATTTAAATGGATCGGCTATACTGTGAATATGAGGACTGCATAAAGGTGAACTGGAAAGACAAAAATTGTTACTGAATATCTATGAGATTAAAGCCACATGTTTAAAGACATAACCCAGTCCTACTTGTTGGAGTTGAAGATACTATCTGGCTAATTGGAGATGATTC